TACCTTATTTATGCTCTCTCATGTGGATTCTCTTGATCACCCGTTCTTACTGAGATTCTCTCTTCTCTTGTTTTATCTTTCTCTTCATCCTTTTATGCCTATTCTCTATCCCTGTTTTGTAAGATACCTGTTCCAGGGTTGCCAAAATGTTTTATGGTCAGCTTGGTTTTCTTGGGGTGCTCACCTTGGATGCCCTTATCCACTTGCATGATTCAAAAAGCCCCTCTTTGCTCTAACTGCATCTGTCCAATAGTAAAGAGCCTACATCATGTGCACAAATGAATGCTTCCTGGTGCCTCAAAACACAGCCTTCCCAAACCAGAGTTCATTATGTTCTGCTCACAGCTGGCTGTGATTTGTCCTGGATTTCCTATTTCAGTTAATGGCATCATCTTTCACTTGGTCACCCAAGCACAATCTTCAAGTAATTCTATGTTAATCCTACTCCCTATAGTTCATGTTCATTCAGGGCACAAGTCTCACCAATTAATGTTTTAAATAGGTCTCAAGCCGATCATGTCCCACTCATCTTCTGTGCAGTTATGTTGATTCAGGATAGATGCATATCTATACCACTCGTACGGCTTTACTGCTGTTCTCGTGTAGGTGTACCATACGCCATCATCTGCAGCTCTGGCCACATGATTCCCTCACAACCTTGGAGCAGCCCTCAGTCTGTCTCCCTGCCATTCTGCAACTCTACCTCTAGCTCTATTTTTCTCCCCCTCAGGATCTCATCTTTGTGCCATGGACTCTGATGACACAACAAATTCAATATGGCCTCTCTAGCTCTCACACCTTTGTATGTGCATCTCTGAACTTTTTCCTCCTGGAACATTCTGCCCCACCTTTCCCACACTAGACCTCCTTTGGGCTCATTTAGCTGAAACATTGGGGGTGTCATTCACTGTCCAGTGTTGCCAGAATTTTACTTCACAGTCTAATGCTTGGCATGTGAGTGATACTGAATTCTCAAATTTTTGGATTCAACTCAACCAAGATTTTCTGTGTAAGTTTCAGGTTTAATTATTGACCATGGTGAAATGATTCCTGATTGTACTTCTCATTTGTATAGCATGCATGTATATGGCATGCTGAAACAATTTTTATCACAAAAATACAATATGGTGTTTCAATATGAACCTACTCAAATTTACCTTATCTCTCCTGATACAAACCCCAAACTAAATTCAAGTGGTATTTCAGAAACCCAAATCTGAGCATTCTACTTTCTATGAGATCCTTCAATGGTTTTATATTATTTTGAAAAATAATGTCTTTATTCGAGAGGAAAAGAGAGACTGTGAGTGCTTATCTGCTTAACTCCCCAAATGTCTGCAGTAGTTGGTGCTGAAGGCAGGAATTGAGAACTCAATCTAGTTACTCCATGTCGTGTTCAGATCACAAATATTGCAGGGGTCTCTGCTGCATCTCATGCTCTACATCATTAGGAAAGTTAAGTCAGGAGCTGGTGCACACAACCACACCTACGCACTGTGACGGAGAGTATGAATTTCTTAACCACCGCACCAAATGCCAATCCTTCTATTACTTTTAGGCTGAAATCTAAACTGTTTGGCAAGTTCTGGAATGATAAGTACCACATGAGGTCACCCCTATGTACAATGTGACAAAGTTGATCTCATAGAAGTTGGTCTAATGTAATGGTGGCTACTGAAGACTGGGAGACATAGGGGATAGAGATGAATGAGAAAGGTCGATCAGTTGGTGTCATGTTTTAGTCAGATAGAAGAAGCTATAGTGTTTTATTGTGTGTTATGATGAATATGACAATATGTTTTCTATATATTTAAAGATGGAAAAGTGAGTTTAGAACCATTTTGGACATTTTCACCATAAGGAGGTGGTAGATCTTCTAGGAGATAATTTATTCTGAGATAGTTTATTCTGATCTGAGCATTACACGATATAGGCATCTATAAAGACATGCTATCTATCCCACAAATGTACAGCTTTTATATATATCAGCTAAACATTTAAAAAAATTCTTATTTTTTTCTTTAAGTGCTTTCTTTGTATTTACATTGAATAGAGTGGCAGCTGCAAATAAGCTAATAAGTTCATCAGATGTGCTTTATATCAATATGAGGTAGTGTGTAGCATTTTAGCAGTTCATTTTCCTGTTTTATGAGCTTTTATCCAATATTATGATAAAATCTCATACTCCTGAGAGCTTGACTCTACAGAAGCAGTCATGCTCACACTGTTCAGACACAGCCAGGTTCCCCTGGCAACAAGGGCCACCTGAGTTTCTCAATGCTCTGTCCATTTTGGCTTCATATTTTGGGGGTGGGTGGATCCTAATTTGCCTAAAAAGGAAAAGAAAAAGAGTAGGAGCATCCAAATGAAACAAAAGTGCCTTTTTTGGAAATTAGTGTCATTTACCTTCAAAACACTGTCTCCATGAGTAATGGCTTGTTATCAGTGATAGTTAGGGCATTATACTGTAGCTTAGAAGCACACCCCAGGAATAGGAGCTCACCCTAGAAAAGAACAGGTCAGACTCCATGTACATATGAAAAATGGGAGATTCAGCAACTGAGTGTCTGAAATTGTACCAACATGGAGACTTCTTTAAAGTTGTTTACCTCTTTCAAAGTACCTCAATCTTGGCAAGTAATACGTTCTTTATTTCTGTGCTTGCTAGGCACAGAAACCCCTGCTACATTTTTTTCTTTTTGGAGGCGGAGAGAAGTAATAGCTCTGTGTTTATTTTCCCTACTTGAAATGTTTGATAGATTACAGAAGGGCCAAAATCAGCAATGTGAGCCACTTGCATGTTAAATAGAGACAACAAGGTGATAACTGAGTGTGGAATGTGGCTAATTAATACAGATACATTTTCTAGGATGCATAACACAAAGGTAGTTGTGTCTTACATGCATGAAAATATAAGCAAATGGATACATAATAGAGAGGCAGATGCTGGATTTCCTTAATAAGTTTTCTTGACTTTCATTCAATGGTTATATAGCTCAGCTTTTTAAGCCTCAAGCACCTATCTGGTAAATGATTTCCAAATATGTGGACAAGATTCTGTCTGTCATGTCTCACAGAGGTGCTGCTCTCAGGACAGCATCCCGGCAGGAATGATGTTCCATGAAAGCAGATGTTAAACTGTAATGAAAGCTTGAAACTTGGCTTCAAAGAAAATCAAGATTTGATAATAATTTGCCAATCAGAGCAAAAAAGATGCTTCCTATTGTGTATTTCCAACTTGTGGGGAGACTGTGGTTGGTGAAGTGCTCCTTTGGGTCATGGCGTCTGGACAAATGTATGAGCTCTACCATGTCATCAGCCAGCAAATTGAAGGATTGTAGTAGGCATTCAGAGGCCCAGGTCTGGGCTTGGATGTAAGTCAGGTTAGGCAATGGAGAGCTCTGTTATTCCGAGTCAGTGAATCCACTTCAGAAACCTCGGTACCTAATCCTTGCTCTTCTCCAATACCCAATCAAGAAGGAGGATTGCCTCATTCTTTCTTCTTCCTCCTCCCACCTTCGTGATCCTGGTCCCTTAGATCCCCTTAGTGGATAAGGATCTGTGGATGTAATGTACCTGTTACCTGGCAGTCATGGGCAGGAACAGCAATGACCGAATGTCTCAGTTGAGGTAGAGGAGGAACATAGAATGCAAGGGGTCAGTGTGACACAGACACGACCCAGTGTCAGCACCCGGGCCGGGCCTTACTCAGGGGCCGCGTTTGTTCTTTTTAGATAATATCATGAACTCCAGGTAGTATCTGTAAAGTCCTGGGTGTGTGCAGCCTGTCATCCCAATTACAGCAGACAGAAAGGAGCGAAAAGCATAGAAATGTTGTTATTTACCTGTCCTAAATTATTCTGCTTCAGGATCTAGTCCTTTTGCTACTTTATTTGGACAAATCAATCAGATAAACAGAATTAGAAGGCTATTTGTCTCTCTTGAAAGATGTTTCCTGTGAACCACGCAGACACCAGGTGCTAAACATTCCAAATAGCACAGATGCATAGGAGCACTGCATAGAAAGACGCTTCCGCTCTGCTCGGTGTGCACAGTCAGGCGGCCCAGCCTCTGGCAGCTGGGAAGCGTGCAGATGCCTAGGAGCGCGGCGTGTGGCATAGGGCAGTGGGCGCAGGAAGCAGACTGGGCAGGTGGAGTAGCCAGGCTGCGAGGCTAAGAGCCAGGTTTTGGGGACTGGCCGAGCGGGAATGGGCGGGGCTTGGGCGGGCGTGCCCCACCTCTTCTCATCCTCTGCTCTCCTCTAGCGGGTCCCCAGTTCTTGGCGGCGTCCTGGCTGAGTCCTGCCCGGCTGAGCCGGCGCGTGCTGAGCTGCGAGGAGTGGATGCAGCTGGCTTAGGTGCCGGGACCGCACTTGTTAAGAACAGACGCCTCCTGGTCAGAACGCGGAGCTGCAGGTGCGCAGGGATGTCTAGGACTGAAGGAGACTCGGTGCGCGCGGTTTAGTACCTCCCGGTGTGCCTGTTCTCTCACCTCCCGGAACAAGAGGTGAGCTTTTGGCTTTTGAGCTGAGCTGCGGCCCTGGCAGGCGATGAGGGCTGTGTGTGTGTGTGTGTGTGTGTGTGTGTGTGTGTGTGTGTGTGTGTGTGTGTGTGTGTGTGTGTGTGTGTGTGTGTGTGTGTGTGTGTGTGTGTGTGTGTGTGTGTGTGTGTTGGGGGCCAGGAATGTCCTTGTCCTTTTAGACTCAAATCAGCAGTCTGGAGACAGTTCTGCCGAAATCGCAGCCTTGGAGTGGGTAAGGGAGCATGTCAAAAGCTTGAGAAGAAAGACTAAGCATTCCCTGTCCTTGTCCAGCACGCAGGGGCACCTCAGCTGGTTAGGTTAACAATGAGAGATCGGTCCTTTGTGTCCCGCTTCCGAGGCTGTTGCAACCCGGCTGGGTGACAAGAGGGTTCTGGGTCGCCAGCGCCTCCAGCCTTGCGTGCAAGCTCGGGAGCCAGCAAAGTTTGCATCTCCGTCTCCAGCCTGTTCTGTCTCTTCCGCAGCCCCGCAGGTGCGTCCCTTTTCGCCAGCCAGCTGTAGCTGCCCCGCTATGGAGTCCCCGGTCCAGATCTTCCGCGGGGAGCCGGCCCCCACCTGCGCTCCGAGCGCCTGCCTGCTCCCTAACGGCAGCGCCTGGTTCCCGAACTGGGCCGAACCAGATGGCAACAGCACTGTAGGGGCCGAGGACGCGCAGCTGGAACCCACGCACATCTCTCCTGTCATCCCTGTCATAATCACTGCAGTCTACTCCGTGGTGTTTGTCGTGGGCTTGGTGGGCAACTCGCTGGTCATGTTCGTAATTATCCGGTGAGTAGAGATCTTGACGCCGCAGAGACAAAGCTGGGCCAGGGCGGACAAGGAGGTGTGCAGCCAGCCTGGAGATGGGGATGTTTCCCTTACTAGATTTCAGGAAGAATTTTTGGAGGGATGATGAATTTCCTGGCAAGTTTTTGGTAGGGGACTGTGAGGCTCACGCAGGACAGATCCCAGCAGCCAGAGAAGTCCAGGAGTTTTAAGCTCCTGCTTGGGCCAGGGTGGGTGAGGACACAGGTCTTGTCACCAGGTAAGGAGAAGAATCCACACACGTGGCCGTTTGCCAGATCGCTTGCACCAGATTTTTCCCTTGCCAAACTGAGCACACTGAAGATAATTTCTTACGATTCATCAGTCTCCTGTTAATGGCTTATGAAACACAGCCAATATACTATTTAAGGTTGTTGATAACCATATTGGAGCCTAGTTTTAGAACTGCACTGCCATCCCATTCCTTTAGGACCTTTGGCTTTTGTAAGAAAGCTACCTGATATTTATTCTCCAAAGTACAGGCCCTGCAGACTTCCAGAAATTTCTTTGATGATTTTGCCAATTCCATTTCTTCATTTACCGTTGAAGGTTTGTTTTAATTGCCATTTGTGGAATTTTCTTGAGTTCAACTCCTTTGGAAATTTCCCACATACCCATATGTATGCTAATTTTCTGATAGATGAAGTGGCTTTTCTCCTTTGCTGCATTTTCTTTTTAACTTTGACTTTAGTTTTAGGAAAAAGAAGTATTTTATTGATTAACAATTTTAAAGGTGATGTATCTACAGAAATGCAAATCCTTCTCGTGGGAAATCATTACAATAACTGAAAATCTTTATAATTATTTATTTATTGACTTGGAAATATCAGGTAATTTATTCCCATCTTTGGCTCTGAGATTACAAACACCACTTATATCTCCAAATTCATATCAGAAAGCTTATTTCTCTTAGAATGAGTGTGTGCAGTTCAACGACCTTAGTTTCCATTGTTACTTATTGCATTTCATAGAACTTGTATCACTGTCTGTGGAAGACTGGGGCAAGGTGGATGTTTTGAAACCACGTTGTTTATCTAAGTCATTAGTAATCCCAGGGCTGGGTTCCATTAAACAGATTGCATTAACCAATAAAAGAAATCAAAGACGAGTCTATTCTAAATTGTAACTAAGAATTGTAGGAACCGTTTGCCACTTTTTGGTAATAAAACATTGGTACACACGCACACGCACACACGCTTGTAAAAGATGGTAACAATAAAAATCGCCGTGGTTCCTGCTATTCCCATATTTAAGTCCTTCCATTGTTACTTAAATGCTCACTTGTAGTTTTGAGTTTGAAAAGGACTTTCCTATTGCTCTACAGTCTTTTTTTTTTTTTAATGTGGCAGTGCAAACTAGTATTAAAATGGACAAAGAAACCTAAAATAATATTTGGATGATATGCACAGAGGACAGACCTGACTAGCGGAGGGAAGAATTCTTGTAGATTAAATATGACTTTCATGGGCAGGTTTTCAAAAGACACCCAGCATTAAAGTTTGTTAACTTAAGATAAATTCAGCTAAAAACAAAAAAGAAGTTAGGTAGTTAACATAACCGAATCATGCCTTCCCCTACTCCTTTGTCACTGCTTAGAAGTTACGTTTGAGAGAAGTTAAAAGTGGAGAATTTTATTGTCTTTCTGGGATGGCAACCTACTGAAATGACAGTTCCTCCAACTTGATAGCTAAGAAGGAGAAAGGAGTGTTTAAAATTTATTTATACAGGTAGATGATCCAGGAATTGAAAATGGAAACTTTGAAAAGCAGCAAATAGGCTCGGTCTATTTAGCTCAGCAGAACAGACTTATGATATGGTAAGAAGGCACAAAGAGGATAGGGCCATGTTTACAGAACTGAGTAGACTCTAGATGTGCCGTACACATATGTCTCACCCAGTTGAAACTGAGGGCTGAGCCACTCTGTCTACAAAGGTAGGAAATCATTTTTGAGATGTTCTGTCTTTTATAATATCATATATGCAAAAGGGTGCTAGCATAGCTTAGTCTGTGGACTTTATTCATTTCAATTAAAAATAAAGATGTATTAGTGATGCCAGGAGATATAGGTCTCCCATCCACTGGATAACTCCACAAACATTTGAGATGGCTGTGACTGGAATGAGCCTGATGCTATAAGCCTAGAACTCAATCCAAGTCTTCTGGATGGGTGATCTACTATCTCCTAAAGACCATTAAAGTTTCAAGTGTTCTCATAATTTATTGAATATCAATTAGTTTAGCCCCTTATTCGTAGGGCATATTATTATTTCAAGTAAAGACCTTAATATTTTGGCAGTTCAGCATCCCTTCTTTCTAAGCTTTGGGCATATTTATCTGTAGGTGTGTCCACTGGTGTTAGGCTCAGATCCTAGTCTTTGGTCTCTGGACTTCCTCCTTTACAGCTCACCATCAGTAAGCCGTGTTATGCCCACCTGCTGGGTCTCCAGTCCTGTCAGGCAGCCTTGCCTCCAACATTGTCAGCATCCATTCTTCACTCACCACAGGTGCCCACACGAGATTATCTCCTTTTTAACAAAGGTGTTTAAAATTTAATACAGTTATACAAGTTATTAAAAATACTAACTAAAATATTGTGCACAGATTTCAATATCCTTATTACATAAAGGAAACTTGTCTTTTAATTCCATTTATGTGATATTTTAAAAAAAGCCTTTATTCTCCAACAGATTAAAGGCATATACTTGAGGTAAATTATTTTATTTAATCTTCACAACCATAGGCAGAGTATTGTCACAGCAGGTCAGACTGACCAAGGTCATACACCTTGCTAACTTATGGGCCTGAATGATCCTAGCAGCCTGATCCCAGAGCCTGTGTTTTCATCCACTCTGTTTCTCATTAATCGCTTTTGTAAACCTTTAGATACCTTCTTGCTTAAAGGATCTTAAACTTGTCCCCGACCGTGTCTTCTGTTACTCAGCCTATGCTCCATGAGCCCTTAATCTAGCCTGTGTCTCTCAACGCATATAACTGCTCTGCCTATGTCTTTCTGCTGCTGTGTGACTGACACTTTAACCCTCAATAAAGCCTTTGATTCACTTTCCCTGCTTTTACATCTGGGCAGTTGAATGCTTTGGATAAATCAACCTTATCTTTGGTCACAGCTAAGTGGCTGTCCTAAAGTATATTCAACTTCTGTTCTGCCTAGAAGTTTTCGTATATTCATCTCCTATTTGGTACTTAAAACAAATATTGTCTTCTGATTTTAATTAAAAATAAATGAATGATTCTAAACCCTCTACCTAATTACAGTCCCTCAAGTTCAATGAATAGTCTTATCATAGCTGAAAGTTGATTGAGATGTCAGAGTTCAGCTGCTGAGAGCAACCCTTCTCAACCTGTGTGCATTGTCAGCCACTGCCCCTCACTCAGGGGAGGAGCTTTCCCTCTCTAGCCAGTCAACTCCATGCTTCTGGATTTTGAGTTCCATTGTCTTGTTATGTCACTTTGCCACATTGGGTATCTCATTTCCCTTTGCATTTTGTTCTTGTACTGTCAGCACAAAGACATACTCAGGTATTAATCATCTCACAAATGACAACACAGTATCTGTCCACTCTTCTTTTTCTGAGTTTTCTTAACAAATAAGAGTTTACTACTGCTGCCTATCATAGATAAGTGGGGGAGAATTCCTGCTCTTTGTTGTCTTCCATCATCCTTCTGCCCCATACCTTGGTTCTTTCCTGTGACTTTATGAGAGTCCTGATATTTATGTTCCATCTGCTCCTTTGACCTGGCCATGGCTTGACTTCTGTGGGGAATCTGGCATGCTTGATCAGTCTTAGTTTCTGGTTTTCTCCAACAGCACTCTCTCCTCGGATTCCCATTGCATTCTCTAGGCTTATTTTTGGTTCCCATCACAGATTTATTTCCCCCTAGGACTTCTTGTTTTTCTTTAAACATTTATTATTTGGTATAGGAACACACAGACACACATGTAGATAGATAGAGAAAGAGAGAGCTGTCTTCCATACAAAGGTTGGATTCCCAAATGGCTTTAGCGGTCAGGTCTGGGAAAGGGCAATTGTGAGAGCCAGGAATTCCATTTAGGTCAGCCATGAGGGTGGCAGAAGTTCAAGAAATTGGGCCTTTATCTGCTGCCTTCCCAGTTGCCTTAGCAGGAAGCTGGATCAGAAGCAGTGTAGCCAGGAATCTGATATGGGATGCTGGCATTGCAAATGATGGCTTAACTTGCTGTGCCATAATTCCAGCTCCTCTAATAATTTTTAAGTGATCATATTATCCAAGATTTTTTGTCTTTGATCATAACTTTTCATACTCTGTATTTAGTAAGATTGAATCAGAGAAGCAGAGCTGGTAGGGAATGGAAATGAGGAAATTTTTTTTTGGAAGGAATTGATTTGTGTGACCGTGGAACTGGTTGAGAAAGTCTAAAATCTGTAGGGCAGTGCAATATTTTGTTTATAGTTTGAATATATCACAAGAATTTGCCTTAAAATTTTAGCCCAATCGTGACATATGAAGTAGAATAATTTGATGTTTAGATGTGGGAAGTGAATAGGTTTAAACAAGGTCCCTAGTGTGGAGGCTGGTGATTGAGTCCTTGTAGCTTTATAAGGAGACTACCAGGATATTCAGGCATCTTATTCTTTGTTGTGTGATGCTGTCACAGCCAGAAGACCTTCAAAAACATGAGATCATCATGAGGTGATGCTCTTAGATGTTAAACCTCTAGAACCATGAGTGAAAATAAATCTATCTTCCTTATAAACTAACCTTTCATTTGTAGTTATTTATAGTAACCAAAATAGAAAAATAAAAGCAAGAAACCTGGAATGACAGACAGACATTTTCAGCTGAAATTTCATCTTCTTTAAAAGGGCAGCTGTGCTGTGAAGGCATACCTACTAATTAGACTGAGATAACCCAGGTTATCTGGGATGACTTACTTTGCTTAAAGACAATTAATGATGGATTTGAA